TAGATAAAGCGCACACAGCGTCGAGCAGAAAACGTTGTATTATGACTAAACATGCAAAACAACCTCATTACCAGCGAACATTCGCACACACACAGCACACAGTAGGGCCTATTCCGCCAGGAGACCTCCATTGTTAATATCCACATATTTAACCACACACAAACATTAAGGTATCTCCTCGTGGGTGCCATAATTGCTTCCCTTGCAACGTCGTGTGGCATTTGGAATGTTTTGGCTGCTAACGAAATTATTGACAAAGAGCGCGAACCTGTAAAAGTGAGTCCAAAGCTCGACCCTTCGACACACGCTACCACAAAAACAAACAACAAGTTCAAACACTTAATTCGGCCGTAGCCGCAACTTAAATACCCTAACATAAATAGATATTAGTTCATCATATGTGAAGTAAGAAAGATGTTATGCTTTCCACAAGGTCACACATTTAAGAAGTTTGTTTCCCTAACTTTGACAATAACCAGAATATAAATATAATACTTCGCATATTTTGGCATTGAGAATATGTTTCCCTGGATCTGTTAAGTGGACACTAAGCTTAGGCTGATCAGCTCGAGGTCAAGTTAGTTAAAACAATCTACAACAAGAAGGTAACAACAATTAGTGTGAGCAGGTTGCCATTTCCAGAACCTTCCGGCTCTATGAACAGCAGATTCTAGATATGCAAGGCCTTATACCCAGTTTGAAGCTATAACCACTTGAGAATTATAAGCAAAAAAAAGAAAAAGAGAAAGCTAGCTCAAGCAAAGACTACTCTTGTCTATTCTGTGAACTAGATCAGAGTCTTATTTCTCTTTACTTTATAGCCTTGTTATAGAAAGAGATGAGTGACTGGTCGTATGTTTAGATTGCTTTCTAAAGGCAAGTTATAGTCTTACCAAGCCAAGCTGACTATATTTTGAAACCTAATAAGCTCGAGCATAAGCCTAAGAGATTTTGAGGATTCGTACAAATTACATGTAGTTAAATATATGAAAGGATTAAAAAGATTAAATTTTATACAAACCTTTGATGCGACTGCTGCCGGCTTATGTACTTAAATCTTTTCTTCAACTAATGAGTAATATTCACTAATTAATCGAATCCTCAATTAACCTCTTCATCACAACTTCGAAGTTACATTCGATAGCTGATACAGGTCTCAATCGTAATTAAAAAATAAGAGCTCCCCCTGAATACCCGACACATACCCAGACAAAATAAATTATAATAACCATGCTGCAAGAGGGTACTCGAACCAGGCTATCATCTATCTAATGAATGCAAATATAGCCACAATAAGTGTTATTACGAGCACACTAACACACATATACACGAATGTGCACACCAACATACATGTGGCCAAAGTGAAAGAGCAAAATTAATTTTCATGTTGCGCTACCTAAAAATAACGCGGCTTCATTAACGTCAGCAAAATGGTTAAGGAATTGACTACAATCAGGTAGAAGGTTAGGAATTGGGCGGGTTGTGGGGGGGGTGGGGGGGTGGTTAAGGGTAATAAACAGCAAGCATCATCAGGTTGGGTCTAAATTTAAGAATCATTGTTCAGTTGTGGGGCCATGAATAATGTACTATGTACTTATGCGTCGAGTCGTATCGAATTTCGTTAATTGATTACGCTCAAAGTTCAAGTCCCCATTAGACGCATGATAACAAGGATGATAGAGCGGAAGTTTGTGACGGTTAGTATATAATTAAACTTTAGTTCACTCTTGGTAAAGGTCACAGTGAGTAATTGAGCTGTGCGAATGAAGTTTTCGTTATTTAAAATGAAAGTATTTCACTAATTAAGGCAAGTCGATATTTATATATGTTAAGGAACCGCAGCCTTTTCTATTCGAAGTCATTTAAAACATTCCACAAACGTCATTAGGAATATATATTTGTCTCTTTATCCTTTTGTAGTCATTTTATAACTCTTATTCTTATTCATTACAATAATAAAAGTTAGTCGATAAAAATATATTACAGAGTGCATAAATGCGGCTTTATCCGGCTTTATAATCATTTTACAACCGATTCATTACACATCTTACATAGTCTTGACCATTATGCATTATCGAAAGCAAGTCCACATTAATAAATTGGGAAAGCAAATATAATTTATAACCGCTTTATGAGCGCGGGTTTTCCGTTTCATTACTATTTTTACGACCGATTCACTACCGTTTCACCTTCTAAACAATTCCATTACTGAAATGTTATCGAATTCGGTTTCATGGTTTCGCGACCATTGTATAACCGATTCATTCATTACCGTTACCGTTACCGTTACCGTTTTGTTACTGGTTCTGGATTTCCGCTTCATAACCTCTTTACGATTTCTTTATTTCTGATTCATAACTATTTAAGAATTGGGTATGAACTAATTGAAAAACATTTTATAACCGTTTCAAATTCATTTTCATATTCACACTGTTATTGTCATATCAAAAAAAAAAAGGTCAAAAGCACAAAAAGTGCTTTGGGAAAAATTGACTGATTAACTTTTTCGTTTAAAACTTGCTCAAGCAAAACATATGAAATGCTGAAAGAAAGAAAATGAAGTGAACCAGTTCAAGTCCGGCTCAATGCTTTCCCAGTTTAATAAATCATGTTGTGTATTGAATGTACATATGCCTGTGTGTGTGTGTGTGTGTGCACATCTGTGTGTGTATGTGTATTGGAAAGACTCACATCCCAATCCATTAAAAGCACATGCAGTGACCAGTGCGTTGTCTCAGTGTCTCCAACGTCTCGGCCTGCTGAACTGCATGTGGATTAAACTGAGAGATGTCCGTGTACGAATTGCGGCTGCCTGTGTTGGGCACGTGTTTGAGGTATGTCGGGCATGGGCATGTTTATTACTCGTGTTTCGAGTGGTTGGGCGTCTGGCAGACAGACAGACAGGCATTGCGGCCCGTCGAGATGTGACAGGTGAAATGCGTCGGGTTGACAGGCAAATGGATGCAACAGATGCAGAGACATTTATGAAGCGTCCAATGTGAACGAACATTGAAATGAGCGATGAAGTTGCGAGCTGGGAAATTGCGAAGGCAGTAAAGCACCAAATTTGGCTGAAGCAAAGATTACTGAAGGATAGGAAGACATCAAGTGAATTTCCGCTTAATTAAGCTGCAATTGGCTTCTTAACCGGTTCAAAATGTGGCCCTTCAGCTGGTGCAATTAGGTATCTAGATTAACGAAAGAAAGATCGAAGCAATTGTCAAGATATACAAAGCAATTTGTTAATCAATTGTTGAACCGGTTCACAAGAGATTTAGAATTTTAGCTTGGCTATGCTGCACAGAGTTTATTGGAGCCAACGATTACTGAAGGATACATAGAACACTACTTCCGAAATTTTGTTGTTAACTTGAAGTTTAATAAGCTTGTGAACCGGTTCGAAATGTGGTTAGATGAGCGCAGGCAACAGTGACAGTATAGGAAAGACATCATGAAATGTCTCTTCAAACAAATTGCAACCATTGAACCGGTTCGAAAGATATTCACAACTATCTCTCAGCCATGATGCGAGTACTTTTGTGGACTGCGATTTTGTTCACGGTTCTTGAAATGTCTGATGAACCAGTTCAGAAATGGATCAGAGTCATAATCAGTTGTGTGCTTAATCTGATGAAATTCGATATATTGATTGGATTAGAAAAGGGACATTTCGAGCAAATTTGAATTAACCGGTGAACCGGTTCACAAGAGGTTCATCTTAAGTAGATTTGCATAAAAGAAATGGTTATGAATAGCAGCATCTTGAACCGTTTCAAACGTAGTTCAGAGTCAGAACTTGGTACGCAGTTGGAATATAGAATAAAGAGACATTATAGATACAGTATGACGAGTTGCATACGATTTTCAATAGAACCTGTCAAAACTCGTTCCAGGCCGAAAAGTAACTGACAAGGAAATGGACGCGATAACAATGGACTGTTAGTTGCCCCACTTTCCGGATGCCGTACAGCGAATGCGATTAGATAAACGCAAACGCTTACGAGCAGACCCCAAGTCGGGGCCAGTTAAGCTTGGTTAGCTCTGCAAGTAATGGGGCACTTGTGTTGCCCTTTGAGTGCATTCAAATGCGCACTCATCAAATCAAAAGCCAAAGTGTCAGCTCCCCAATTGCCACTAGCTGTGCTGGTCAACTCCTTGTCAAAGTGTGACGGGGTTTTCGGGTCTGGGACCTGTGAGCTCGGAGCTGTGAGCTGTGAGCTGTGTGCTGTGGGCTGTGGGCTGGCTGGACACTCGTAAAAAGTCAGCTTTCTCTGCTGATGCTGGAACGACTAATAACAGGCAACGTTTAAGAGCTGAGCTTCCATTTAATGCAATTGCTATTAAGTTCACTTGACGCCACAAACAAAAAGTCCACCCTGCAGTCAGTTTCAGTTCCAGTTCAAAGCTCGAACGTTAGCTCTGTGTGGGTGTGGCTGTGTGTGTGTGTGTGTGTGTGTATGTGTGTTGGGTGAGGGAAGTCAGAAGGTCGCCGGCTGCTATTTATTTTCATTTTCGTGCATTTATGGTTTTATCTCTTACGCTTCTACGCACTACTCCCCCGTCACCCTGTGTATACCCTGCACTCCTTGCAATTGGCTATGATGCAGCTCTGGTGTTAGCTTCGGTAAAGTACTATATATGCACGGCAAAGTACTATATATGCACAGTGTGTCATTTATGCGATTATCTTATCGATATATATCAATTTTCTTGTTTCTTAAGTATATTTCGATAGCTATAAGCGCCTCAGACATGCAGGTTATTTTATTGTATATGCAGGTGAGGTCCTTTAGACTTCAAGATTTTGATACATGCTTAGGAGAGCGAGAAACAATGCCTTATTTTTGCTTCTATGTTTTTAACGGGAACGAGGGTGTTTTTAGAGCTGTGCACAGGATATATCCTAGTCGAGCACTCGCCCTCTTCCGCTCCCTATGAATCTTTCTATCTGTGAGCTATACTCGACTCATGCTGACACTTTGTCGTTTTTATCGTTTCAGCGTTAATTCGGTTAAGCACTTAAAGCGCCGTCAGCAGGCGCCAAAGGGGGGGTCCAGGGGCACATGCCCATGTGGCCCAGAAGCGGCCAACGCGGCGCAATGCGTTGACAACAACAACAACAAAAACAACAACAACAACAGCAATAACAACAACAGTAACAACAACAACAACAACAAGCCCAGTCAAGTAACAAACGGAAACAAATTGCTTGGCCAAGTTACGTGCATAGTTCAATTGAAGGTGAAAGCCACTCGCCGAAACAGTTCCGTCTACGGAGACAGATAAGAGATACATATATAAATACACTTGCCACCCGGGCGGGGTCCACCTGCACCCGCATCAACATGTCCAGCAGTCATTCCGGCACAATTGGCCGTAAACGCGTTGGCAGCGGCAGCGCCGTTGGCAGCGAATTTTACTACGGCAGTGTAAGTGGCTCGAACGCCGGCAGCACGGCTGGCGGGGAGCAGCTGAGGCGGCAACGGTCAGCCGAATGGCATAGCCATCGGCATGGACACGGCTATGGCAGCAGCAGCGAGGATGAATATCAAAACACCGCCCAGGCAACGGCCTTTGATACGCAGCTGTTGGCCCAGTTGCTGCTGCAGAGTCAGCAATTGGCAAGTGAGTAAACCAGATACTAAGATACAAGATACACAACATACAGATACAGATGCAGATACAATGATACAATAATACATTCTGCGTTTGGTCCAATAAGCAGTCCTGCCCTTGGGCCTCGGGCGATTTATAAGTCACTCAGTCAAACAACTAAATATTCATTATTTTATTTAATTGAATTATTCAGTGGTCATCTAATCTAATACACAAATCCACCGAATCTCCCAAGCCCAGCCAGCGCATGACTCAAGGCCAAGCAGGCAGTTGGCCTGCGCTTACTGTGACTTGTGTATACCCTGTAACCCGTAATTGTGAGAAACCTTAATAGCTAATAGCTTCTGTAGTCGTATCTAAGGCTCAAACATCCCAGTCCCTATAGCTATATTCCAGTTCGTGTGTACTGAAAGCCAAAATATTTCAGATATATCAGTTAAATGTTCTTTCCTATTTGACATTTTTGCTGTACGCATTACCCAAAGAGAAAAGATGAGCTTAAGAATACATTTTTAAGAGCATTTTAAGAAGTCTTTGCAATTTATGGAAGGGTATTTCAACATTCTCATAACTTCCTAACTCAACTTCATCTTAAAAAAAAAAATTAATATTTTAGTACCTACATCGATATTCATAGCATATTCTTATTCTCCGAAAATCCCAGAAAACAGGAAAAGAGACATATATCTGATATGCCTTATATAAGTTAACTTGCACTCAGTTTAGAGGGTATTGCCTAGTCGTGATTTTGCATTTGTTTTTTTCTATTCTTCTTTCTGTTTTGTTTTCGATTGAGCTTTGGCTCTGATTGGATTCGTTGCGAGTCAATGTGACGCGTCGCGCGGGATTTGAATTGCATTGATGGGTTTTTTTGGGTACTCGCTTTCTGGGCTTTTGTGGCCGCTTGGGCTCAGTTCATTGGAACCCAAAACCGCTTCACGTTTTGTTTTTCGCTGTCAGGTGGCTTAGACAAGTCTCTGCGCAATACCCTGTAAAGAAGAGTAACCAATCAAATTTAGAGGAACAACAGGAAGCCATCCTTGAACTCTGCTCAAACAGCTCAACTTGGAGTTCAAGAAGCTGGAATAGAAATATTTTATATCGCCGCACTTTCTCACTCAATCGACAATTGACATATCGAAATTAACGTGTATTTAAGTCTAGTTCGGGTAGCTTAGACTTTGGGAAAGATTCAAACTCAAAGCTGACTGAGATATATTCTGAGCCAAGGCACATAGTAGCCTTTGCTAGATATCTGAATGATAGGAGGCTCCTTTTTACCAAGCAGAAGAACGTAGAACATTTAAAGAAAAATATAATATTTATTTAAAATATATAACATTTCATTATGCCCAAAATAAAAGAATATGCTTATACTTATAAATTTTTTATGGGGTCAGAGTTGTCTTCTTCTATGCATTGCGCATTTCATGACGCAAACTGATCATAATTTAAAATATACCTGTAATTGAGAACCTTCTGCATGCCGATTACATGCGGCCTTCGAATAGTGTAAAGCTGATGTTATATAGAATATTTAACTCGAGTCGGTCATTGAAAATTCGAATTACTGCAGAATATTATTCTGCGAAAGTTTTAATATCCGAGCAGCCACTTTATAGCGAACTCACTTTGGATTAATTATAAAATATTTGCTTCATTAATTTGGGTTTCTCATGAACGAACAGAAGTATGCTCGGACTGAGCGAATGCCGAGATTTATTTGTATAGTTAATTTTCATAAATTTCAACTCGTTGCGAGCGTGAAAATCGCGAATTGAGCGTAACATTCAATAAGAGCGCGTTTAATTCGCATATCAAGTGCACAATTTGATGGCAAACGAACGTTGGGGCTTATAAAGATTGACTAACTGAAACTGAAGCTTCAATTCAATTACGAAACGCAGCTGAATAAGTGGCGAAATGGCAGCACGAATCGCAGCGTTTGCGCTCGAGGGGCATTTGAGGGACTCGCTGGCAGCGCCTAATCGAAGCATAAAACGCAAATCGCCGTCTGCCCCGCGATTTTTATGTTCGCATTGCATATTGCGTTTTGTTGTTTCCGAGTATATATATATGTGTGTGTGTGTGTGTGTGTGTGTGTGTGTGTGTGTGTATTGCTTTTTATTGTCTGTTAATATTTAATGCAATTTACGATTCATTTTTTACAACCTCATAACACTGGGTGCCGTTTGCCCAGCCGACTGGGGACCGATTGTTGCTCTTTGCTCAGAGAATCGTGAGAGGAGGCGTAGCGGGGCGGGGCGTGACGTGAAAATATCTAAATCTGTAAGAGGAGACGACGAGCCGTGTGAGCTAACAAGTACACATTTGCAGATTATGTCGAAGGTTTTTAATAGATTCTTCATTGAGTCGTTAAATGCATGAAAATCTACAAGGAATATTTCATTTTCTACTTAAATAAAGTTATATTCTTCTGAAATAGAGTCTTAAACTGTATAAAATAGGGTCGAAACGTAAATAATTTCCATCTGTTCTCAGGTTTACTCCATATTTGCTCGTTTAGCAAACTGTTCCTAGGTACAGTTGAGTAATTGAATATTGATTGCACTCTGTTCCCACAATGCTGTCTGTTATCGGTTGATCAACCAAATACTGTACTACATTATGTTCTAGCCGAAATGTTGATCTTCCAAACAGAAATAAGAACATAGAAATAAGAACATAAAATCAATAATCTTTTATTTGGAATTATTTTTTGAATAATTGCATTATTGCTACCTGAGTTTTTCGCTTTTGCTTCTAGGTACCAGAAATTGATTTCATCTGAGCTTGTATTTATATAAAATTAAAATTTATAGAGCCTGGGATCATAGCGTCGACATTTGATGCTGTCTAGAAATATACATATATATATCTACAGCAGGCTAGCTGCCTTCCATAACATACACATGCACTTAACTAGAATACCCTTTTCGTTTTACCGAATACAGGGTATTTGTATTTTTCATATTTTTGGAAAGCTTGATTAGGCAAACGAAAGCGTTTCCCATTCGTTAAGTTAAGATAACAAAAAGTGCTCCTATTTGAAAAACTGCTAGTTTAGAACACTGAACTCTTCAACACTTAACCAACACTGAAAACTAACCTGGAATGCAGAGACAGTACTAATATTCTTTCTCCCTCTCGCTCTTGCGGCGAGTAAATCTGAGATCAGTTGCTATAGAAAACTTTTCCACACCGAACTCTGACACGCTTAACCAACACTAAAAACTGACCTGAACTACAAGCCAGTACTTTCTTTCTCTCTCTCTCTCTCAGGCATGGAACACTACAATTCGGACTGTGAGCCGGAATATCTGCGTAAACGTGACCGGCGCAGCGAAGATGCCAGCCAAGCGGAGGTTACCTATGCACAGCCGCATCAGCGACCCGCTGCCAAGGCAGCGCCGGCAGCGCAGTCGCCGCTGAAACTAGCCACCGTTTCGGCGAGCACTGGCAAATACCCGTCGAATGCCAATCTGGGACTCTTCCCCAACAGCAGCAGCAGCAGCAGCACGCTGACTCCGGTGGCAAATGCCGCGTCGCGCAGTACAAATCCCTTTCTAAACGCCAAGTACACGGCCGAGGAGGCGCCACTGGATGCGACGGTGGGGGGAGCAGCCGCAGCAGCAGCAACAGCGGTTGCCTATTTGTTGCCCGCCTCTGCCTCCTCCTCGACGGCGGCGTCGAGCAGTCGCAGCCATCGCAGCGGCGCCGCACGCAACACGCTGAACCGCTTGAGCGGCATGACCAGCTCCAGCAGCGGCACCTCCGCCCTGTCCGTTAATCGCAGCGATTCGCTGCGCGACCGAGCTCAAACGCCGCTGCAGCAGCAGCAGCAGCAGCAGCAACAGCAGCAACAACAGCTGGCGGCAGCAAAGACGGCGCTGCAGCTGTCGGAGCTGCACGGCGCCGGCAGCGATCTGGATGAGTTCGCGGGCAGCAGCGGCGAGTCGGAGCCACCGCCAGAGCCGGCGCCACCAGAGATACCGCCGCGCACCCAATCGCTGCTCATGTCCTTGCGCAAGCATTCCGACTACAAGCTCAAGTACGAGGAAAAGGGGGACCAAAAACACGAGGAATTTATACCGACCAGCCAGCTGCAGAAGGGTAAGTACCAAAAGCTTCAGGGCACAAATTGTGCCCAAATTTCCCAGCGCCAGGGAATTAATGCCAAGGGCTTTTGTGCTTGGCTGCGATGTTTTTGGGACTCAGTTTAACATAGCTGTTACGCTTTAACAGTAAGGCTAGTCAACCGCTACGCCATAACAGCTATGTTAGTCGGCTGCTATAATTTAACATTTATGTTATTTAACTGACAACTGAGTTTAAAAAGCTGCAAAAGCTTTTGGCATACATTTCGAATTTCTTGTTGAACTCAATGGAAAGACGTATTGAATGCAGTTGAAATACTCTCTCCAGCGAACTGAAATTCTCTTGTAGTCGAAGCTTTATCTTTAATTGCTTTTTTTTCTATTCTACAGATTATATTATCAGCGATAATCTTCGTTCTGTGGAGCAACAATTGAGGCCCATTTCGCCGGGCGATTCACAGGGGTGAGTTTTTATTTGCATTTATTACTCAATCAAGTTACTCGGCACTTAAGTCTAGTATTAAGGTATTTAGAATAGGTATTCGAAATGCATTTAAAAACTTTTTTTCGATTCTTTAACTTATGATATAATTTGTTTATACCATATTAAATATATTTCAAAATACGCTCGATTTCTTAGAAAAAAAAAGAGTTCTTCAAAAAAAATATATCAAAATTTTGTGATTGACGTATAAATTCTCAAAAAAATGTCTGGAATTTTCTCTCTTGATTTAATTTGAGAAGGAATGTTCTTGAACTTTGCTTAAAATGGTTTGAAAATGTGGTCAAGAACTCGTTCGATAATGTCTCGAATGCAGCTCGAACCCAAAAGATTTTGGATTTTTTTTTATTGATTTTTCCTCCACTTAAGGTTTGAAGTAAAGCTTTGCAAAGCTTTTTATAAATAAATATTTTACAAAAATATGCTTTAAATGTAAACAAAATTTAAAAATTAGTTTCAATATAAGCCTACTCCATTTTTTGTGCAAAGTTCAATTGTCAAATGCTTACAAAAAAGAAAGTTTACGCTCCGATATTAAGCGATCCTCAAAGGTTATCTGAAAACAATTGCAAAAGCCTTTCAGCAAGTGCCAGAAAAACGGGGAGTTGAACTCTATTAATGATGAAATCTTCAGCTGGAATTATTAACTGAGATGCATTTGTGGTTCTGGGCGCACGGCCAGTTTATAAGCGCTTACAAAAGCGCTGCCAAAGTCGTTGTCAAAGTGCAAAATCTGTGCAGTTGCGATAACTGTGGATGGATGTGGAATGTAAAGCGCCGACATAATACCCTCAGCTAACCACAAAACTTCTGCGGCATACAGACAAAATAACTGAAGGCGGGTTTAAAAGAGACAACCAAAAACAGGAAGGATACCCTTTCGGGAGCTTAATAGATTCGGAGTACATCACCAAGCTTCTAATTGTTGGGTTTGCGATTGGGACTTTCCTGAAGAATTATTATTATTATTCCCATAGGTTGATTGCCTAGCTATTTCAAGAACCTTTCGGAGACTGTGCTAGCGACTGCATATTTGCAAGGCATTGTCTTTAGTGTTAAGCTAGAACTACATGTGAATTATTATATGCAATATACAAAATACGTTCTTAAAAAGCACACAGCTCTCCGATCGGGCTGACATTGACTTGCGTGTAAGAGACGAATTTGTGGCCAGATAAGGACCTGCAGGGCACTCAAAAGCCCAACCGTTACGTATAAGATGATGCATTGATAATACCCTCTGGCAGGGTATTATAAGCACAAGAGCAAAAGTAAGTGACACGGACAAAAGATAAGGTCAAAGGAGGAGCTGGTGGCGAAAGAAGCTTGAGTTACGCGGAGCCTGAAGCTAGCAGCTTGTAGGTGCACGTTTTCGCTTTGGTCTCTAATCTGCGTGCAGTTTAGCTCCTTCCTTCCCCTTATCCTACTCCCCCCCTTCGGCTGTGACTGTGCTCATGTTACCAACAACAACAACAACAACGACAAATATGGAGGGCAACTAGATAAAGAAGAAGCAGCTGCAGCCGAAGCCGAAGCCGGAGCCGGAGCCGGAGCTGAACTGCAATAACAAAGTAAAGTGAGCCGCATGTTAACGGCAATTAAATCCGCAAATGGTTTCGCATTGGCAGCAGCAGCAGCCACTCTGCCACCTACACACCCCTCACCGCACACACACACACACACACACACCACCCCCCTCCCCCTCCCCCACACTGCTTGTGTTTATTCGGTTCGCCATTGTAATCCTTGGCTAGGGACACAGCATCCGAAAAGCCGCAGCGCCAAAAACTTCAAAATGGCTGCCAGACCGTGGGCCACGGGAATGTCGTCGCCAGCAGTTGTCGCCGGGCGGACGGGCGGCTATTGGGCGTTGGGCGTTGGGCGTTGCCGTGGCCAGGCGCCAGCTTCAGCTGCTCCCGCAACTCCAATTGCCCGCTTTTGCTCCTGCTGCTGCTTCTGCTGCCCCTTTTGCGCCTGGCAAAAGATGTCCGTAGCATTTTGTGGTTTTGTAAGCGGCTTTCGCATTCGCATTTTGTTTGCGCTTCCTCACATGGCTCGCGAGCCCCCACCACTTCCCCGGAGTTAGCCCACCTAGCCACCCAGTCTGCTGCTGCTTCAGCTGAGCTCCTGTTTCTGCTCCTGCTGCCACCTGCTGCGCCGTTTACATGTGTTGCATTCCAGCATAATTAAAGAACTCACTTGCAGATTACGTGGTTTTATAGGTTCTACCCACTAGCCCCCTGCCCCTCCCAACAGTTGGGCACCTATTGGATTTGTTCTGGCAGGATATGTCTTACTGCTGCACCTTTCTGTGCCTCCAGCTCCAGCTCCTGCTCCTGAGCCAGCTTCTGTTCCTGCTGTTGTCTGATATGTGTTCACTCATTCATTTGCTATTTTGTTGTTTTTGTTTTTGCGGTGTCCTGTTTGTTGTTGTTGTTGTTGTTGTTGCTGTTGTTGCGTATCCTCTGACTGCATTCACATTGCTTACTCAAAGGATTAGCGTAAACGTTTCGTGTAGCAAATTTTCAACTTCAATGCCGCTAATGTACAGCTAATGATTGTTGTTCTTGCTGTTGTTGTTATTGTTTTGTTTTGTCGTTCTCTGTCGTACGTTGAGCGGTTAGGTAAGGTGCCTGCTGTAGCCAAGGCTCACAATTGTCAAAGCTGCGGTTTCAGCTGGCAGACAACTTGAGCTGAAGATAACTTGAGATAAAGATGTAAGCACACATGCCAGTTGCAAGAGGACATGAATCTAACGCAACTATTTGTATACACAAGAGCAGCCCGTGTCAAACTGCTGTCAGAGTTAACATGCACCTTAACATGCCAAATTTGTTAACATAGCCCGCATGTCGTGCACTTAATCCCACTGTTAAATATTTGACAAGCATGTAGATCAATTATTAACAGCTGCAAAAACATTCAAAAATTTGCTTCAGAATATTTCAGTCCAACCACAAATTCAGTACAGCTTGAAAATGTAGGGAGATATATTTAAAAGCTTGTATGCTAGATAGATGCTAATAGCTCTTAAGTCTATTTTTAATAGATGTGACCAGTCTTCTTACAGAAAAAGGTTATCGATATTTATCGATTTGGCTGGAAACATGTCTGATATGGTAAATTTTCTTAGAGATATGCTCAAGGAAGGCAGCTACAAGCTATCGATATTTATCGATTTCGGCTAGAAAAGCGATTGAATTATGGAATAATAAAGGAACTCAATACGATATACAAACCCATGTCTCGACTTGAGGTTCGCTTCGTAACACCTTAGCTTAATTGGTTTATGCTCGAATTCAATATGCATGAAGGGGCTATGAACTGGTTGAAAAGCTTTTTGAATTCGTATTTAAATAAAGCTTGTTACAGATAGACTTAATTGGGACAGATAAAATATCAAATTTAGTGCTGGGATTGAAAATTAGGGTACATACAAAGGGAACTAGTTCGATTGAATCTGAAGAGTCACCGAACTACTTTGGGGGCGAGCAGCTGCCACAAATGTCCGGGCCAGGCGGGCGCATTCAACTCGAGCGCCGACATCGTGTTGCAGGTGCCGCATACGAACTACAAGACTTTGACAACGGATTGCAAACGACAGGCTAAGACATCGATTGACAGCGATGCTAAAACTTAACACATCTTCACATTTGTGAAGTCCGGATGTGGCTCCTGCTGGCCGTGTCGTTGACAGTCGTCATGCGCAGCTACTTAGATGGACATAAAATTATGATTACAGCAAATACCACATGTCACATGCTATCAGGCACTGCACTGGGCAGATTGGGTACACCACATGCTCATAGACACAAACACACACACACACACACACACGCACATATATACAGATATGTATATATGGATATAGATATAGATATAGATGGCAGCAGGAAATGGTCGAGCGACGCTAAACCCAAACGCATGCAGTCAATAACCGAGCCTCAGACTAACGACTAACGACCATCGCCAAGGATTACGCCAGAAAAATAAAGATGTTCGCATAAACCTGGGCAGACTTGCAGTTATCCTGTTCAAAGTTACGTTTATTCTGGAATAACTCAAGAACTTGTGAACAGATCGCATTGACACCTCTTCAATTTCATGTTGGCATATTGAAATATGCGCATACCAATTATTTTGAAGCCAGCCTAAAAATTACCAAAAACGAATTGATCAAATAACGATATCATCACGAGCGATGCCAATGATTCGTCTGCGCTGATTTTTCAATTATTGACTTTGACTTTGTCTTTGCCTTAAGTTTTCCGGCCTCAATGCTGTTCAAATTGGTTTCATCCTTTGTTATATTTAATAAATCAAAGATGTAAATGATAAATATATCATATATATTGAGAGTAAAGCAACCTTTCGCTGATGCTACCCATTTAGCTCAGCTTGCCTACTGCAGGATATGCGTAGAAAAAAAAAAAAAATAGAAATAAAATAAAAATGAAGAAGAGCAAAAGATTCGTAAAGTAATTCATTACAATAAGCTCACGAATATGCCATAAAAATCGCGTGCGCTCGCTGGCAAGTGCTCGACGTAAAGGACATACTTTCGGGACGGGGACAGGAGCTGGAGCTGGAGCTGGAGCTGGAACTGTAACTAGAGCTGGGGGCAGGCAGATAGAAAGCATCTGCGATAGAAAGTGATGTCGTTGTGGTGGTGGCATATCCAATTGCCACAAGAGACGAGGTCATGATACGAAACAGCTCGCATTCGATGTTAATACACTTCACAAGGCTGTCCAGAATGGGGCAAGATGGCGCAGACGGCGCAGACGGACCAGACGAAGCAGACGGCCCAGACAATCTGGTGGCAGTGGCTGCATATGTATCTCTAAGTACGAATACTTATGTATCCAACTATATTCCATTTCTATGAACATGTCAGCGTTGGTTTTCGCGTTTGCCGGCTACTCCACACCGTGCCCCAACGTCTCGATTTGTGGTTTGAT